AAAAAAAAAAAAAAAAAAAAAACAGCTGGAGCAAGTTCCCTTAGAAATCTCTTACAATATTGAACAATTACAAATTATGCAATAATTTATCACTAAAGGGCAAGAGAACATTTAGAAATTTTTATGTACCAAGACATAGCTTTATAATTATCAATCTGACTTTTTAGAGCAAATTAAGAAAAGGTTAAATGCAAAATCATTAAGTCTAAAACTGTTCTTCTCAGTATACAAAGCAGATAAACATATATACTTTATCATGCCAAAGTTCAGATCTTCTTTCATTTCACATTATTAGTATATGAATTAACATATAGTCCTAACTCACGGAAGCAGTTATTCACTCAGTGAGAAGTGGGTACACAGTTTTCCTTGGGATAAAAACATTTTAAATGCTTTCCAAATACACACCTTCCTCCTCCTTTCCTCCCCATCACCTCAAGCAGGCAAAAAATAGCTATAGGATTTAACCATTAACATGGGATATATTTTTCACTTTGCCAGTATAAACTAAAAAGGGAAAAACTTGCTTGTTTTGTATTTATATCTTGACAAGTTTATCAACTGCTAAAAATGTATAATTTTGAAAATAAAAGTCATTACTGCTTCCAGAACTTTCTTTACCTTCCAAATGCTGCAGTATTTAAGAGCATGGACTTTGGATTCAGAAAAACCTTGGTTCAAGTCCCTGCTCTAAGCTGCTTGACTCCTAAGTTTCTAAACCACTCTAAACCTCAGTTTCTTCATATGTAAAAGTGGGGACAAAATCCTTCCACTGTTGGAAGACTAAAATGGGCTAGTGTGAGGGTATATCAAATAATGCACACAAAACAAAGTACAATAAATAGCTGAACACAGTAGGAACTCAATACACAGTAACTGTTGTTTTATTACTAGACTCTAGTAGACATCAGCCATATTGTTATTATTGTTACCACACCTTAGTGAAATTACAACTACCTATCAGTATATATTTCAGTACATTTCTTCAAATATACTTTGTACATCTAAGTAAAAATGTAACCCCAAAATATTTGTGGGCTTTTTAAAGAAAAACAAATTACTACAAAGGTAAGAATCCAGTTTTAGGGTTTTGTTTTTAACATGTGTCATGGCTTAAGTAAAAAATGAACAGGAAGAGTGAACGACTGAGAGCAAGTCAGAAAGTTTCTAAAGGGCAAAAACCAAAGATTTTTTTTTATTCTGGTCTATTCATGCCAGTCTACTTTCTCTAATTTATTCCAGCTGCATTATATTGTCAGTGCTTAGATTTAAAATACCAATACAAAAAGCAGAAGACTGTACCAATAAAAACCCGTAAAATATAAGAAGATGCTCCATCTGAATAGCCTTTCAGGAATCCTCATTTAATTAAGAAATAATAAAGACCTTATTAAGTTCTTAGAAATTAATAAGTAAATATAGATTCCAAAGGCCCTAACACAGAAGGGAATAAAAGAAAAATAAAGGTCTCAGAAAAAAATACAAAACCAACACGAATTGTATAAGAAGAACTACGATTTCAAAAACTAACCTGTTCTTAAGAGAGGAACTGCTGATTCCAGAATGGAGACACAGAACTGGGGAAGACTGAGTTGCTGGAACTGGAGTTCCAATGTGTCTTCAGTTTCCAGCTCCGGTAGATCTATGTGTCCCATATCCAAAGGTGAATGGACAGATATCCTAGAGTTTATGTGAGCATGACTGCTACTTCCACTGTGAAATAAACAGATGAAATAAACCCTGCATATGGCAACAACCCTCAAACACATTTACAGCATAACTGCTGCCTGCCATATTAGAAGCCTCACACTAGTCACAACTCTATTGCTTCAGGTAATAACTCTGGTCAGATCTGTAGAAACTCTGACAAATTTATGAATTTAAATTCTATAAAAATGACTCAAAATTGTAAATGAAGCCAAAAATATACCTATATTTTGCTTTTCAAATAGATGATCTCAAAACATATCAACATTAATACTGACAACCCATTCATTTCTAAAAGAAAACAAGCAGATTTATAGCAAAGCTTTCCTATAATCAACTGGTAAAAGCAAAACTAAACAGTTCGTATAGTTTCCTAGATTTTCTGTGATTTTCATCAAATGTTCTAAGCCAACATTAGCAACTAAAGGGTAGTCCCAGAAAAACATCATGAGAAATGTATATTCAGCACCATATAATTTTAAAAATGCACCCAAAAAATGGAACATCCCACCTTCCTTGGCTTTTTTTTTTTTTTTTTTCAGACAGAGTCTCACTGTGTTGCCCGGGCTAGAGTGCCGTGGCGTCATCCTAGCTCACAGCAACCTCAAACTCCTGGGCTCAAGTGATCCTCCTGCCTCAGCCTCCCGAGTAGCTGGGACTACAGGCATGCGCCACCATGCCTGGCTAATTTTTTCTATATATTTTTAGTTGTCCAATTAACTTCTTTCTAATTTTAGTAGAGACGGGGTCTCGCTCTTGCTCAGGCTGGTTTTGAACTCCTGAGCTCAAACAATCCGCCCGCCTTGGCCTCCCAGAGTGCTAGGATACAGGCATGAGCCACCGCGCCCAGCCCTTGGCTTTTTTCATTAAAAAATTCTTATGTTGGGTGTAAAGTGGTGAGGTGAGGATAAAAAAAAAATGATGTAGGCTAAAAAAGAGGCTTAAATCTCATATTTACAAAGAACCTCAAAATTTTGACTTTTGATATTACCTACAATTGAAGCTGAATCACAGAAATATGCTAATGCTACTGAACATTTAAAACGCCCCAAATTTTATACCCATTTTGTCATTTCTTCAATATCAAGATACCAAGCATACCAAAATATGGAAATGACCTGGCTTCTCTCAAACTCCGAAAGACCATATAAGGAAGTTGTTCACATTCAAGAGTGAAAACCTACAGGAATGTAGCACACTAGAGAATGAGGCAGAAAGGCTTTAGAAAGGTAAAAAGAAAAATCATGACTGATGACCTAACTATAATGTATGGACTAAGAGCACAGGCTCTCCTATCATATTATTCAATCCCAGCTCTGCTCTTTACCTACTATAATGCTCTTAATCTCTCTATGCCTCAGGTTTTTCTGTAAAATGATTATAATACCAATTTTATTATAGTACTGTTACAAGGATGACCAAAAGGAGACAAAGTATGCAAAGCACATGGCATAACATCATGGACTCAGTAAGCATGAATTGGTGTTAGCTTGTAGCAGTAGAAGCAGTATCACAAGAAAATAACCAAGCCAACAGACAAATGTTCATTTACTAAACATTTTTTAAAATGACACTAAAGAAGAGACTAATATGTTTTTAAGATGTTTATAGCCTAAGGATAAGGTGACATACAAATACCATGCCATCCCCTTTAAGCAAAGTTCGTAAATGAAAATCTGTTTACACAAATAAATAAGATACCATAATACGTATGCCTTGAAGGAGTCCTTGTTTTCTAAAAATATTCTCTAATCATTCTTTTTAATGGTAAACATGTATGCATTTAAATTATGATTAGACTTACAAAAATGTTTTTAAAATACATCAAAAATGTATCTATCATTTAAAGTTATGCTTTTAAACTACATCATATTCCATTTATGGCCAGTAAAAACAACTTAGTAGGTCATAATCATCATTCCTTTTTATATGAAGTAGAAAAGAACAGAAAGTATAATTCAGTGTGTAGAACACGAAATCAGAGTACTGTTTTGTGAACATTTTGTTTTGGTGGACAAAACTCATATACACAAACATACACACACAGAACACATGTTTGTGTACTGAGTACTAAGTTGCAATGTAATATTTATTTATCCTTACTGTGGATCATGGTGAAGAAAGTATGAAAGCCAGTGGTTTAACACAAGGCCTATATCTGTGGTAATATTTTTATAAAGAAGACAGAGAAAAATAATGATCTCCCTCTGAAATTAACACACACACAAGTTAACTGGGCTTTTCTAATTTCCCAGAGACACCACCAACAGTAACCTAGAGCTGCGGTCCCCAACCCCCGAGCGGTGGCCTGGTCCATGACCTGTTAGGAACCGGGCCATGCCTCACTGCCTGGGCTCCACCTTCCCCGTCCCTGCAACATTGCCCCCCCCCACTTCGATCCCATGGAAAAATTGTCTTCCATGAAACTTGTCCCTGGTGCCAAAAAGGTTGGGGACTGCTGACCTAGAGGACACTGCATCCCAATCCTGCCCATCTCCTCTGAGTCGCTGGCCTGTGCGCCCAACCACAGAAGGCCGAGGGCTACTGCTTCCTGGAGAAGGATTCTGGGAATGATGAGTACCTCTTGCTTCATGACAATAAGACAAAGAAGAATTTTGGGAAACTGTGTCTAGAAAAAAAAAAGAATAAAATTACCCCTTAGTAAAAACAGACTACTGATTATGTAGTAATTATGTGTCACTCTTCCAAAAAATTAACAAAATTAAGATAACAGAAATGCTTCTACAGGAATAAAAATAAAAGTAAAGATCAACCTTAGATTTATATCTAACTGACCTGATTATATGGAATCTACTTGCCAATGGTATTCACTTACAACATTAGAGATTACCAAACCAGAACAATAGTAGACCATGCACTCCTCTGCCTAAAACTGAGAATCCCTACCTCAAACCATATGTAAAAAATTAACTCAAAATGGATCAACCTAAATATAAAAGCTAAAACTATAAAGCTCTTAGCAAGAAATATAGGTGTAAATCTTCATGACCTTGGATTTGGCAATGATTCTTAAATATGACATCAAAAGCACAAACCAAAGAAAACACAGATAAATTGGACTTTATCAAAATTTAAAACTTTGGTGCATCAAAGAACATTATCAAGAAAGTATAAAGACAACTTACTGAATGGGAGAAAATACTTGCAAATCATATATCAAGGGATTAATATTCAGAATATATGAATAACTTCTAAAACTCAACAATAAAGAGACAAACAACCCAATGAGCAAAGGACTTTAATAGATCTTTCCGCAAAAAAATATATGAACAAATAAGTACATGAAAAGTTATTAGGGAATCCTTAGTCATTAATCATTAGTCTCAGGGAAATGTAAATCAAAACCACAACGATGTACCATCTCACACCTAACAGAATAACTATGACAGAAAAAAAAAGAAAGCAAGAAATGAATGAGTATTAATGAGGATGTGGAAAAACTGGAAGCTTCATATATTGCTGGTGGGAATGCATTTAAAATGATGCAGCTGCTGTGGAAAATAGCTTGGTGGTCCCTCAAAAAGCTAAACATGGAAATGCCATATGACCCGGCAATTCCACTCCTAGGTATATACCCAAGAGAATTGAAAACAGAAACTCAAACAGATACTTATATGCCAAAGTTCACTGAAGCATTATTTTTCACAATAGCCAAAAGGTGGATACAACCCACATGTCCATCAACAAATAAATGAATAAACAAAATGTCGGATATGCATATAATGGAATATGACTCAGCCATAAAAAGGAATGAAGTTCTGACACATGCTACAATGTGGATAAAGTCTAAAAACATTATAAGTAAAATAAACCAGAAATAAAAGGACAAATATTGTATGATTCTACTTATATGAGATACCTAGAATAGACAAATTCAGATACAGAAAATAGATTAGAGGTTACCAGGGGCTTTGGGGAAAGGGCAAATGAGGAGTCACCACTTAATGATTACAGAGTTTCTGTCTAGGGTAATGAAAAAAGTTTGGAAACAGAGAATGGTGATGATTGCACAACGTTGTGCATGTAATTAATGCCACTGTACTGTACACTTAAAAATGGTTATAATGGTATATTTTATGGTTTATATATATATATATATATATATATATGTTTTACTGCAATAAAAAAAAGAATTAGGTAGTAAAAACATTTACAGAGAAAGAAAAAACTCTGTAAGAACGTCTTACTGCACTTCAAAGAAAATATAAAATCCTTACAAAGGTCTATAAACCTCAATATACTCTGGCCCCTACCTCCCTCTCGATCTCACCGCAGTGCCCTCGCCTCCCTAGCTTACTGTGCTCCCCTCTCACGGGCTTTACTGCTCAAGCGCATCACTCGCATTGCTGCCTTAAGGCCTGTGACCTTCCCTGGACCTGGAACACTCTTCGTACAGCCCTTTGAGTGGATGGTTCCTTGTCACCCTTCAGGTCACCTCCTCAGAGAGCCTTTCCCTGATCATCCTACTTAAAGTAAGCTGCGTTTCCTTGATCATGTTCTGTCATCATGTCACCCTTTTATTCCCTTCAAGTACTTTTCCTTATCTCAAACGAATTTGATTATTTATTACTTGTCCCCAGCCTTCTAAAATATAGGGGCTGGGATCTGATCTGTTTGTTCAGTGATACACTCCCTCCCACCAAAGGCTAGAATATCAGCTGGCATATAGTAGGTGATAAATATTTAATACATGAATAAATCTTCAGAGACATCAGCTATTTTTATCAACATTAGAACTCTTTTTCTGTTGAAGTGTGAGGTCCCCAGAAGCTCTCTATTATCAGTCATTTGCAGAATGCCAAACCTCCCCAAGAATATTAATGAGAAAACCCCATACGCTCTAAGATCTATAATAAAGCCAACATAAAGCATAAATATTCAAGTAGCATAGCATCAGTGAAGCTCCCAACCAAATAGGGATTAACTGTGAAACATGATGACAAATGATTGTAATTTTATATTTGAATTTCAATGCTTTTTGTATAAGCACACAGAAATCCTAAATTGTAAATATTGTTTTGTCAAGGTCAGTCTGGTATTCTATTTGGCCATTAGGTGGTGCTTTTTCTCTGAAAAGTGTGGCATTGCTATAATACCTGAATACATCATAAGTTGCATAAAAATAGCAAAATTCAACATTTTTCAAACCAATTTATTAACACAATATAAAACTTTCTAAAATGCACAAAGTCCCACATGAATAGCCATACTCAGAATCCTAGTCCCTAAGTTCCAACAACACTCTGTTTATATAGAATCTCTATACATCTGGAAGAAAAAACAAAAACACTTTGTAAATGTCTCTTATAAAAACAAACAAAAAAACCAGCATAAGATTAAGGTGCATGATGATTCTATCATCACACAGTTTGCAGTCAAAGATGGCAATGAGATTACATTTAGGAATGGGGAGTTTGTGTTGTGAAAATGTATATACAGTAAGTATAATGAGGAGTTCTTAGAAGAATCTGCAAACAATGCCAGTGGCTAATGAATAAAAATAAATACCTTGTTTATTACAGAAAAAACCTGGATCTCGGTGAAAGTTAAGCCTGTTTCTTAAACATGTACACAGCTGCTGCAAGCAGGACACTGACTGTAATGCCAGGCGATGTTTCCCATCTCCTCCAAAGGCCAGTTTCAACAGAGATAAAAGGCTCTGAAATAAAGAAGAGCAGTGAAAATAATTAAGGGAACAAAGTGCTCAACTTCACAGAAAAAATGTGGAGCCTCAGTAAGTGAATAATTAAAAAATAAAATGAAGTTGTCAAATATTTACAAAACATAAACAGAAATGGGCAAAAATGACTTAGCATAATGGAAGAAGATGGGTCAGAATAAGATAATAAAATTTAAATAGGATAGTGTTTTTATTTCTTTTTTTTTTTTTTTTTGAGACAGAGTCTCACTTTGTTGCCCGGCCTAGAGTGCTGTGGCATCAGCCTAGCTCACAGCAACCTCAAACTCCTGGGCTCAAGCGATCCTCCTGCCTCAGCCTCCTGAGTGGCTGGAACTACAGATGTGCACCACCATGCCCGGCTAATTTTTTCTATTTTTAGTAGAAGCAGGGTCTCACTTTTGCTCGGGCTGGTCTCAAACTCCTGATCTCAAACCATCCTCTCACCTCGGCCTCCCAGAGTGCTAGGATTACAGGTGTGAGCAACCGAACCTGGCCCTTATTTCTAAAATCTGTTGGCTGTCGATTCTGAGAAAAGATAGGAATTATTCCCTATTCAGGACATTACATTACACAAAACTTTTTCAAAATCACAGCAAGCCCTTTTCATCTCATATATCTAAATCATTTTACCACATTTTGATAATTAACAGCTTTTCCTCTGCTATCATTTGCCAGCTGCAACAGTATGTATTAAGAGCTGCCATTCACTGGAGTCCACTTCAGCCCCGTGTGGAGTGACTGCTAAGGCATTACTATATGCTATGGACGTGCCACAATCCCCCACCCTAGATCCTTCTCGCTCTACTATATAAGCAACAGACTAGATGAAAGAAAAGAAACCATCTATTTTGTTCACTGCTACTGTTTTCCCAGCATGTAGCACTCAAAAACCCATGCTATTCTTACTGTTAATGAGGGTTACTGCTACCCAACCTCAATTTTCTAAGTCTATTTTCCCCTTTAGGTAATCTATAAATGGTAATTCAAGGTGGCCAAACTGGACTGCAAGTGTCCAATGAAACTCCTATTACTAGAAGAACTATTCAAATAAGTTAATGAATAAGTAGTTTAAATAGCCAAATACTTCATTTTTAAATACATTAGACAAATTTCCTTCCCCAGAACTCCTATTCTGCAAAATTCGTTTTATTGAAAAAAGGTCTGTATTTCAAAATCTAAAACAATTTTAGTGGGTACTCACTTGAACGATTTTGGGCCTTTGAAGGAAAATCTCAGCAGGAAAATCTTGCATGATAACATCCTTCAATAGTTCGCAGGTGTTCCAGATTAAAGTGTGGTTACTACTTCTTAAAGAGCTACAAAATACAGTGTTATTCATTTTTAAAAAGAATTCACCTATACCAGATTCTAAGTAGCCTAGTGGCATAATGACTCTACTAACAATCCTTTAGGTCTCAGCTGAGACATCACTTCCCCTGAAAAGCCTTCCTAGATCTTTTCCCAATCAATAAATAACTCCAGGAAGGTGCTTCTACCATTGGTCTATATTTTGTGACATTACAATTGCTTGTTGACTCTGTATCCCCCACTAGACCCCCTCAAGGGCAGAAACTAAATATTAACTAACCATTGTATCTCCAGAGACTATCATAATGCTACAAAAGGAAGTCAATGAGGTCAAAGGGCACAGAATTCAATGCAATCTGCTAAATAAATTAATAAATAAGACAGAAAAAAATAATAATTATAGAGGTAAATCCTAGGAATTAGATTCCTTACTGATATTCCCTACTCTAGGTGAATCACGTTAGGACTCCACTCATCCCATACAGAGGATGCTTCTCAATTTCTGCCCGCCTAGAGATGTGGCAGTTGTTCATCCCCCACCCCAGTCCCAGTCCACCGTCCAGCATCCACCATCCAGAGGCATGCGTTAGAAACTATTACCATCTCTGCCTTAGGCACTGACTCAGAACTGACAGATTATACAGCGCCCTACCCCTTTCCCATGTGCACGCTACCTCTTAAATATTTTGTTCCAAGAGAATTTACTGATGCCTTAGAAGCGCCATCATTAAAAATCATCGAATAACATCCACCTGTATCTGGTCCTCGCTCTAGCAAGTTGGTCTTTATTTCCAGATTCACACACAAAAAAGTCAGACAACTCATTTATTATGGCATTCAGTGAAATTGCACAAAGTGAATCTGGACATTAAAACACTCTCCACACTTCTATATATCAGCTATTTACTTCTGAGGGTAGCAATCAATTAATAGCCATTACATAAGATTAGATCAGTGGTACCCAATCTTCACAACATGGTATAATATAATTTTTCTCCTAATGGAACACAAGTTTTGAAATATATTCTACCACAAGACGGCACTTCTGTTGAATTTTTCCATTTTTATTAATAAAGGTCATAAGCAATGGCCAATAAGAGAATCTGGTCAATAAGAGATAAGTCATGTCACCAAGGACTACATAAGATTCCAATTACAAAAAAGAAACTTGATGAGTAGATTCATTAAAGGCAAACAGGAATTTTTCCAGCCTTTTAAAATACTAAAAATCATTTATATTAATATATGCCCATTACTACCTTTCACAGCCAGTGACTATCTTTTCCTGGTGAAAATGTATAGTAATAATTTCCACATTTAATGGCTATAAATGAACAAAAATACCTGAAATAGGTCAGGCACTGTACCTTTCATTAGAGGAGAGAACATGTCTATCTGTTGTAGTCAAGGGTAGCCAAGGAAATGTAGAAAACTTCAAACACTTCACAATCTGATTTACTGTTAATGGAA